GCCGCGGATGTACGCTACATAATACAAGACGTGCCAGACTTGGCGAATAATGAATCTCTACGCCGCATTATTCGTCGGAAAATTCAGTGACCTTTTTCGCTGACAAAAACGCCGTGATATAATATTTTAACATAATATTTCCTATGAGCTATAAACTACATGTTAATTTCTCAAAAAAATCCTCCAAATAATTGACTAAGTAAAATTGTTCAAAAATGTATCTGAGAATATTTATAATAGTACTTAAAAAATGAATTTTTGCTGAATTAAGAAGAATCATCTTTTCGGAAAAAGTCGCCAAGTGTACACAGGCTTGTAGAAATTTAACAAATTATCTGAAAATATTCATGAGAATATTAAAAAGTAAATTTTCATCAAATTAATATTTCATTCGACTCATATTCCGGCGGACAAGAGAAGAGCGAATACTTGGCACTCCGTTCGCTCGAATCGTATTAAATGGGTTAATCTCATTTCACTGTGTCAGAGTGATACAGCGTCGTTTCGTTGAAATTTACATTTCTTTGGACCGCTCGCGATTTGCATAAAACGCAACGCCGGCTTTCTCTCCCGTGGACCGTTGGATAAAATGAAGTTTGTCACTCGCCGCGGCGGTGAAATGTGAATTTTGACAATTTATCGATGCGGCTGACGTCACGCATAGAGATGATGTCTTTTGTGGTGTCGCGAATTCGCGTAATCGATACCTATCGTGTATCGGCCGTCGGGAAAAAGAGTGGCTGTACACACTGAAAAATCGCCTCTTTTACTGTTGCCCGCACGCGCGCGTGGTCGCGCAATTTTCAAAGGAAATAGGATGACGCGCAAAATATATTGCGCTACCTTTCACCTTTGTCGGGACACTTTTAGCTGTATCGCTCGCCACACCGTTGCCCGAAATCACCCGTCCCGGGGACAATATATCCCGATAAAATCCATCCCGCTCGCGCGCCGCCAGAATTCTAAACGCGCGCCTCCGCGTATGGGTCGGCTTAAAGCAAAACTTCGTTCGAATGCGACTTTAAGTTATACGCCAACTATACGCGCCGTTACTTACCGAGAATAACGTTGTGCAATTTTAACACATGTCGCGAGTCGACACGCGATTTTACCTTGAACAGTTGTACTTATTTCGGGAAACTATCGTCTACGTTTGTCGATCTCTTTCTTATTTTATCTCGGTGACTTCTGTCTCATTTTACTTTTATTCCAGAAAATTGTGTAACATGCAATTTGGACATTTATTATAAATCATTATATTAATACTGTATTGTATTACAGAATATTCATATTGATTTTCTCGAGCGCGAAGTCCTACAGAAACAAGCAAAAGTTGTCGTTTTGCTTTCATTAAGTTCTGCGTAGAATAAAATTAAAAGCACGGATACGGGTTTTTCTAAAAAAGCAGACTGAAAAATTTTATTCTAAAATAAAAAAAAAAAAAAAAACCAACAATTCTCGACATTTGGACTTTTATTCGATAAAAAAATACGACAAACCTCGAGCATCGTTCCGATATTTCGCTGCTATCGCACTGCTCTACTGTGACTTCTAATCGCAGTCCTTGCGGGCACACGTACGCGCTATTATCACCGCCGAGTATAGTAGCGAAGTTACAGGCGGCGGTCGCGGGGGCGGACGGAACGGGGGCTGCCGACTGAATGAAGCCGGCTTCAGGTGTTCAGCCGCAGTATTGATCGGCCCACCCTCGTATATGACGGGCCACACGACACAACCCCTCGCCGACCACCACCACCCATCCGTCCACCCACCCGTTCCTCCTCCGACGTGACCCTCTTCCCCCTAGAAACGTCCGCCGGGGGCGACTTCCAATGCGAGCCTGCCAAGCGGTCCCCCGCGCCGCCGACAAACAGGCTTTTCTCAGTGTCAAGGTTGGCGACGGGCCACCTTGCGATAGACGAAACTGTCTCTCTGATTGTTAGCGAAGGAGAATGACAGGGAAAATTAGAAAAACATTGTGCGACACAAAGTGTTAAGCCGGAGAATCTCGCGACTTTTACTTTCGCAGAAAGACCGAGCAGGCCGACTTAATCTAGGGGCTTTTTGTCAAATGGCGCGGAGAAATGCCTGGATCTTAATTCTAAAGTGAATGGTTATATCGACCCGCGATGTTATGACTATTACTTCATAAAATGTTATGCTCACGGTTATTATTACATAATAAATATGTGTGATACTTTTGGGAAATAGCGGAAGATATTGGAACTGGAGTAAAATTTTGCAAGGCGGATATAAATGTTCCTTTCATGTTGTGTAAATATTGCTGTATCATAAAAAAGTTATATACATAAAATCTTGCATGTTTACAAGTTGTTTATAACATAATTGCGTGATTAATAAATTGCAAGGGATTAAATTTACGAGAAAGAAATTTTATTTTCTCATGCAATAATACTAAATTACAACAATAACATATTTTGTTTAAATTTTAATACTGTTTAATACTTGAAAAAATCAGGTTTATCTATTATATTATTATATTCTTGATTTTTCTATCAAAAACTACTCGGTCGGAGTATCGACTTTTTCAAATTGATCAAAAAACTTGGTCTACGTATTCCGTATGTAGCGACGTGGTTTATCCGCGATAATTTTCAGAGCCACCTTCGGGTTTTGTTCCGGCGATAACGGAAGACTTCCTGAAGCCATTAAGGACGTCGGAGCCGGTTTGTCCTAGAAAACGATGCCATTACCGCGCGGTCGCGACGCGCTCCACGTTCAAGATACTATCTAGGATTGCTAGACGGTCACGACAAGGAAGTCTGTTCCGCGAGCGCAACGGATTTAATTGTCTCGTTATTCCCGTCGTCGCAGGGAGGGAAGGGGGGAGGGGAATCGATAACATAATCGATCCACGTTATGGTAGCCCGATGATAGCGACGGAAAAAACACAATCGATTGCGATGCGCGACGCAAAAATAAATCGCGGATATATTCGCGTGCCGCTTCGCGGATGACGCGGCCGTCCCAAAGACGTCCCGAAACATCCCGTCCGATAAACATTCCGAAGATATCTAAAGGAAAATTCCGATCACTAGACACTGCTTAGATTTGGAAATTTATGGTTATCAATTTTTGTTTCAGTATATTATATTTTTGTATTGTATAAACACTAATTTTGGTAAATTCCGAAATAAATTCGATGATTAATTGCACGGCGATAAATCACGCATTTGATTCTCGTAATCGCCTGTCCATTTCGTATAATTACGCGTCATCATTATAATTAATTATTACAGTTTAAACAAGGTCGAATTAGTGCAAAAGCGATATTATTGCTTCAGCATATTTCAATGTCTATAGAAGGAAATTATGCAATTCCGTGAACAAATTGTGCCAAAAACTGCGGGCATATTCAACACATCGATTTTTGCAAATGCAAATTTTTGTAAAAACAGATGTTGCAATTTTTAGGCAAATTGCGATGAAAAAAACAAACGTAAGCAGCTTCAGAGAATATCGATTTTTTCGTATGCAACTTTTCACAGGGACAGATATCATTGTTTTTAAACAAACTGGACACACACGCTACACGCGTTATTTATTCTTTTGATTGCAAAGAAATATATATTATGACTTCAAACATTTTCTATATTTTCTATAAAACATAAAAGTAATAATAAAATACCTGCAATAATCTTCTCAAAATATGAACTGTAAAAGTTTGCAATTTTGCGATAACAACTGCACAACAGCACGAAGTAAAGCACAATACATATCAAGATAATCGATTACGCGCAAAAAAGGGAACAATAAAAATTTTCCATAACTTTTTGAAAATAAAACGATTGCACTAAAAAAACGCGAATGGTTTCAACACATTACTTTGTTTTAGCGAAAAACTTTGCAGACAGTCACGTGTTTTCGGCGGGTCAATTATTCACGTTAAATTTCCGCGTGAGGAATTTTCGTATTTCCATTTGACAGCGCGCAATTTCCCAGGGAGAGTCTCGTAATAAAATTTTCAGTCACTAATGCAGCATTTGACTCTCGACGTGGTTTCTTCGCCAACACGAAAATGTCTCCCAAGAAAACCTGCGGTGTCATCCTGACTTATTTACGAGAATTACAATCGATCTGACCGGCATCCCTGAAATTTAGGCCGTGGCTTAAGCTTCAGTCGCTCGAGTCAAGCACTGCCGCGCTTAACTTTATGATATATTCATGCGAAAGTGGAGAAATGTTTCTCTCTTCGCGAGCAAGTTTAGCTAGTCAACAACTTTTACATTCAAAAGCTTCGATAATATTAATTTCCTAATACGTTTTCCCTAAAGTTTTCTGGCTATCGTACACAAACTTGTTATTTTATTATTAATCTCACCTCTTATCTCTTTTATCTTTTCAATTAATGAAACTTATAAGAATAGCTCTAGGTTCGAAGTTATAGAATACTTCCAAGAAAATAATATACAATTAAAATTGTATATATATTTTTAATTAGATTAACCTAATTAATTCAAAAATTAAATTTGTTTAAATATTAAGTTTAATGGAATATTTAAAAACAGAATTGTTCAATTAAAAAATCCTTTGTTTAACAATTTTTTCTTTTTCATGTAAAGAAAGAGCGAGAGAAAGAGAAATCCGCCTAAAATTTTCCAATTAGTGATTAAAATTATATTCATTTATTCGTACAAAGCGCATATTTTCCAATAAAAAATTATGTTCCATTTGAAGCAAATTTTTATGTGTAAAAAATTAATTTAATTAAATTAAAAATTTCTACAACTTTTTTAATGCTAAGTTTAAAAAGTCGTCCAGTAGGTATTTTCGAACAAAATTGTTCAGTTAAAAAATCATTTCCTCAATAATTGTCTAAAAATTAAACTAAAATTAATTTCTGTAGGTTTCATAAAACTACTTAATTTTTTACATTGTTAATTAATTTGACTGTACAAAAATTTGCTCGATTCTGCCGTCTCAAGCGTTTTCAAGATAACAACTTGAATAATTTGGAAAACACTTTGCTCGGCCGACAGGTGTGACCGACGAGGCGCGGATCGCCAGCCGAGACATGGCTAGCAGCACGGAGGACTACGGGTCCGAGCTGCAGGAGCTGCAGTGGGGCGGCGGCACCACTGGCACGCACTTTCTGCGTGGTGCCGGCGGCGGGTCGCACTACCTGCGTAGCGGCACCGGCGGCTGCTACGAGGCCGAGGATCTCGAACCAGCCAGCTCGAGCCGGCATCATGGCGTTCAACATCGCGGCTACTACAGCCCGCCCGGCACCAGCTACACCATCGTCGAGAGGCCGCCCAGCGCGCCCCATCATCATTCCTCGCACGCGACCCCCTACAGATCACACCGGGGTCACGGGGGAACCACCGGCACCGGTGCCATCTCCCCGGAACAAGTGCTCAGGTACGACGCCCCGGTGATGGCGACGAATAAAAATAGACTTCCGTGACTGGACTCAATGTGTATCGAAATCAAGTTACGCTGAGACGTTTGAGGAAAGGTTCTTATTTGGTATGAATATATGAGAAGTGTATTTGGCACGAATATATTCTCTCTTTGAAGCGAATCGTTTTGTAAAACTTATAGTTCGTTTCTTTCGAAACTTTGTGTCGCGAGCTTTTCATTTTAGAAGCATCTGGTATCATTAATCTTCATAGTATCAATAACAGGGAGTCCACTCAAATCTTAGAGAAAGATTTCTTGAGAGTTTCTCGAGAGTTTCTTTTAGAAAAGTACCTCGAAAATTCTAGATTTATCAAATTCCTTTTAGATAATAGACACTCCGAATTATCTGTAAAACCGAAGATGTGTAGCATTATCGCTCTAAGGCTCCAAAATTCTTATAATAAATCCTTTTAAAATCAAATCCTTATTTCGTTCGTTTTAATTTTGCAGATTTTTAGTCTCCGAATCTCGATTAATAAAGTTATTCGTTATTATAAAATTCATAATTGCTATAGTGAGATGTCTAGTTAAAGCTTGCAAAAACACAATTAAATATAATTCAATTTCTGATTCTCTTTTCAAGACTGTTCGGCAACAGCGTTGCCGAGCGTCGTCAAGCTGACCGCAGGTCACCTGCGTCCAGCCCGGCAAGCGTAACGACGGTGCGCGGCACGCCGACCGCTTCCGCCTCCTCGCAGCAGCAGCAGTCGCAGCAGCAGCAGCAATCGCAACAATCGCAGCAACAGCAGCAGCAGTCGGGGAACGCCGGGAATCCGCCGACGTCGCCGATCTCGCAGCCGCTCAGTCTACAAGAGCTCACCGTAAGGACAATCACCATGACGAGAGATCCGCCGGACTCTCACCATGGCTTTGGCATCTGCGTGAAGGGTGGCAAGGACGCAGGTGAGATCCGAAGTACCTTCAGGCTACCCCCGTCGCCGTACTTCGTACCTCGAGAACGAGGTATTGTCTCTCCCAGAAACGGTTTATAAAAGAAAATCTCTAACTAGTTCGTCTTTTTTTTTTGCCGCACCACAACTGTCGCAAGTCAAATCAAAAGCATCGTATTATGCGTGGCGTTTACGGTACTGCTGTGTGCGCCGCGTGTCGTCTGGCCGATCGCGGCTCGAGTCGCTTAACCGTAAAGAGAAACCGATCGGTGTTGCGAAATTGACTTAAAATCACTGGAAATTAAATATATTGCTTCGTATTTGTTTCTGCAAAACAGAGAAAAAGATTTTCGACATCGAGAATCCAGTGAGATTTTAACTCGAATCCAATTAAATTAAACTATAACTTCGTAATTTGCGTCAAGAATTTTTGCTATCATAAATTATTATTTCTGTAAAAAATTTCAAATAAAGATTAATTATGTCAATCATTAGTAAAAAATATAACGTGTTAACTTTCATATAAAATTTTTTTATAAAAGTAGAGAAAAAAATGTGGAATAAAAGTCCAACAGAATACAATTCGATATATTTTAAAAATAAATTATAACTTTGTGATGCTAAGTACTTTTCAATATTATAAAATTTTATTTATAAAATTTATTCAATTCTTTAAATATAAATATTAATTATACTAATTATCCGTTATATTCCATTAATAATTATAATAATCTGTAAAATTAGAGTTGAGAAAAACATGGTACCAATTCAATGATTCGATTCGACTATTTTAATGTCGTAAATCTGTCACTAAACAGTTCGCGGTATCATAAATTTTTCATGCTATAATTCTCACTTCTTAGATAACTAGAAATCTTTAGACAAGCAAAGATTTACGACTCCGACAATCTACGACGTTAAAAATATGCGATAAAAATACGCGAACGCAGAGAGATCCGACGTTTCTAAGAATAGAAACATCGATATTTAACGGTCTATCAATTTATCAATAGTCTGGTCAATAATCTAATCTATACAAGAGTTTATATTTGCGGTGTATCAAGGTTCCGCAATTCGAGCCGGTCCGCCAGATGACTCGCGCTTGTCACTTATCGCTGCCAACTCGTTTCTTTGATTGTTTCTTTCTCGTGCTGCGCGCCTACGTCACCCCGGTTGGCACTCATATCGCGCGGCGACACCTTGCGCTTGTACGTGCTTCAGCATAAATCGCCGAATCGTCCTTGCGCATTTGCATTGTCCTCGCGACGACACGTGTTTGCGCTAAGTGCCCTTTATCATTCGCACAATTTGCCATAGCATATTTAGTTGAGAAAATCGTATCAAAAAATTTCATGCTATTTTCATATCAAATTATCAAATATACTATTTTTTTTTATTAATTAAAAGTGTATTTTTATTTAATTATATTGAATCAGATTGCAGAAAATTATTAGAGCATTATCGAAATATTCACGTAGAACATTAACAAACTCTTTATCGTTCTGTTTGCAAACTAATAGTTAAATTAATGATCTTAACCCGAAAATAATTATCATTCGCCTCATAATTAGATTGTTACGAGTGTTCATTTGTATTTACAACGCGAATTACACTCGAAGTTTATATCGATTAACGAGCGCGCGGTCAGGAAATGAATTTTCCCGTCGCAAGGACGACACTCGAAAGCGGAGGGGGGGAAAAGCATTTTCACGATCGTTAAGCATCGTTTTCCGCCGCAGCGACGATTGCTTGCACGCGAACTCGGTGGAGAAGAAACAAGCGCGTTTCGCACAGAGTGTCTCTCCGCCTGCCTTTTATTTTTTTACCCCTTCACGAAAGAATAAAAATTCCGGTCGGCTTGCCGTTCGATGGTCGACGAGCGATAACGAGCTATCGACCCATCGAAACGCGTTTGCGCCGGAAATCCGACGGAAATTCACCGTTTCGCCTAATCTTTCTGGAGAACTCGACTGCCGAAGAAATAGAAGCTTCGTGCGTAAATTGACAACTATTGTTGCAATTTCTCGGTTAATTATTTTTACTATAAATTTATTTTTTATAATTTGGCATAATTAGTTCCAAAATATGATATAATAATAATAGAATTAAATTTTTTGATGAAGAGCAAAGTACTTTAAGTTTTCATAATAAAATAGAAAAAAAAACAATTATTTCAACATTCAAATCGTACATGTGTACATTGATGGCTTAGTTTTTTCAATTGAATATCTTTTTCATATTCTCCACACTCTCGCATTTCAAACATTTTTTAAAATGATCATTTAAACATTCTTGGACATTGCGTTTCCCAGAAAGATTTTTCAACTGATAGATGAAAAACCTC